TTTTGTTTTGTGGTGTATCAGCCTTTTCATGACATTTCTTCTGTTCAAACAAAAATCTGAAGGTAAAGCAGAAAGCCTTCATAATTCTGTAAGCATATTAACTTCCTGGAATGACCAAAACTCTTTGGCAGCAGAGTCAGAGATACATAATGGGGAATCCAGATGTACTTTTTGTTGAGGGTCTCCAGATGTGCAAACTCCCACACCTCACCTCACCTGCAAACTCAACTTTATTAAAAAGCAAAAGCGACATTCTGTGAAACACTGACTCAACAAGTAAACCTAGAAAAAAACAAATGGCTTCTTCAGGCATTCTGATAAATAAATAAAAAAATAATTAAAAAGCAAGCAAAACAAACACAGCTACCATCCACAGAGGTATGAGTTGTGGATGTCACAACTATTTTACAGTTAAGTATAAAAAAACATATTCCATCACAGGGCAGTGAAAGTCACCAAGTTCTAATATTGTCCATTATAGAAACAGTGCAAAGACACCACAGGAAAAAAGAATAATTATCAAATAGAAACTGAGGTGAACAGGTCTGCTATGCTTCCTAAGATAATCATGTCAGCTGTTTCTTTCATACACCTCCTGCAATATAGTAAAAGCTCATTTCTAAAAGAAGATTTCTCAAGTTTAAAGTTTCATGTTCTGATACTTCATAGCAATCATTCACGGATAAAAAATTTAGCACGCTTATTCTGGCAAGCAGAAAGGACAATCCTTTCTATCCAGATATTTCTTTGTCTTTCCTTAGAATCAAGATGTACATTAACAGAATCAATTAAGAGCACAGTATTTTCTAAAGATCATCTCACAAAACCAGGTCCTTTTTCGAGTGGAAAGCAAATCATGCCAAAAGTAAATTGCCCTGCAACATTTATCCAGGCTTTTGCAATCACGTTTTACTAAAAATCTGTGAAATGGATTTTGATTCATAGTCTATTTCAGTCTTTGTTTCTTTTCCATAGATTTCACTTGTTTGTAATTTTTGCTGCCCTAAGAATCTATTTTCAAATACATGTAATCTGAAAATGCAAAAACCCATAGACACTTGATAATTATCTTTTCTAATAAGAGGACAGGCACACAAAAAAATTTATCTCTGCAAGTATCTCTGTTAGTACTTACCAAGATCCTTTATTCTAGGTAGTACGTTGTATGTGAAGTTTTTATAAGTAGCTACTTTCCCTTCTGGGGAAGCAATCCCCACGTGAGATTCATAGATTCTTAGGCTTTTTAATCTCTTGGGGGAAGGATGCTTATGCTTTAAGGAAAAAAAAAAACAGTTGTCGTTAGGATACAACAGCTTGGAAGTGTTGTCACAATCAAATAATTTGCACAAGACAAAAACAATTTAAGGTTTGGTTGTTTTGTTTTCCTCTAAGAGCACAAACATTTCAGAAGTAATTAAGCATTCTAAACTGTTAAAGTAAATGTCTATTTCAAATTAACTTTCTTCATGAACAAGAAACTGGACATCCATGATTCAGCACTTTTCTTATACACACTTTAAACTACACTGAAGTGTACAAACTTAACACCAGTCACTGTGCTGTAAAGTTCCTCTGAACTATGATGAAGCTTGTTTGCAAATAAAAGACAAGAGAAAGATAATTTTTAAATTTTTAAGCATACCTGCTTTTGCAGGTATTTGAAGTTGCTCTGCCATCTCCAAACTAAAATTTATAAATATTTCAGTCTTAAACACAGTTCCACAGCACACAGTCATCTATATTCCAATCACTTAAGATTAAAAAAATGAAAAATAAAAAAACCTCGTCTGTAGGTGAGCACACAGTATTTCTAAGTTGGTGAAAATATTTCAAGAACACAGAGGAAACTGAAGTTCACCACAAAACCTCTTCCTTACACTTGAAGAATTTACACTCGATTGGGATTTTACTTTTTAAAACAAAAATCTTGTCTGAAGAAACTTAGGAAAACTACCACTTAAAACCTATTTTTCCCCTCAAAGTTTTTTCTTTTCCTGCCTCTCCCAATTAAAAAAAACCAAAAACAAAAAAAACAGTTACAAGATTTTATATTCTATTTGTTAGTTTAATATTTAAGTGAAATTTTGAACAGTTAGAATAAAACAATAAAACCAGTAAAAACATACACATACATGAACAGTGAACAGAAATTAAAAGGATGATGTGAAGAACATGAAGTTCTGGTTGACGTTTGTTCCCTGTGTCTTATTCCCACTGGGCACCTCTCCTATTCATAAAAACGACTCAGTCAGGTTTTTTTGACTTAACTCAGCAAGGCCTTGCCTGCGCTCTAAATGTTCTCACCTCCTTTTCACTCTAGGTCATACAGATCACTGCATTTCCCATTACCTCTCCATTCCTCCTATTACAGTATCATAGTCACAGGGCAGGTCACTAAATTCATAAGAACTATAAACCTAAATAAGAAAGTTATATTGTAGATTATGTAATGATAATTTTTTAAAAAGGTATTTTCCATGTGAGTTACTCTTTCTCTGTCAAGCAGATGCTTCGTAATTTGAGATGGGTGTTAAAATTTAACTCAAAACAGCGGTTGCAGCACCTCTGATACAGAATACTGCATATCATGTTTTAGTGAAAACACCAAAAAGTGTAATATGAAATAACATTACTCAGACAGTCTGGTTTGTGAATGTTCTCCTAGGATGCTTTTTATATATCATGTAAACAGTTTCCCCTCTTATGGCAGTGCATGAGAAGTAAGAGGGCTTTAAAATCAATAAATGGATTTTCCTGATAAGAAGAAACTAGAATTTGACTGGAGCGTGAGTACTTTACTTTTGAAAGCTTTTTCTGAATTCCTACGGCATTGACTTATTATTGGAGTACAGAACTTTGCATTTGCAGCTAACTAATTCTCAAATTTAATTCTAATAATTCCCTGCTCTCCTCTGTACCAGGAAGGGCTGCCTAGTACTGGAATAGTTATTGAGCTTGCCTAGCATGTGAGAAACCAAGTTTAAAACACCACTTTAACAGGTAACTATTTTTATATACTCTACGGGAGATTGAAAAAGTAGCTCAAAAACATTCATCATTAAAGTCACTTGTTTCTGTCAAAGCCATGAATGAAACCCTTCACTTCTTGGGTAGCTATTTTAACTCGTTCGCTACCCTCTTTTTGTGGAACAACTCTTTTTTTTTTCCCTTCCAAGCAAGGATACAAAGATGACACAATACATGTTTTTTATACACCCTTTAAAAATAATGTTTAAGCCTTACTATATATGACTGTGGTGGATTCCAGTGTACCCAATCGTAATTCACTTTGTCTTCATCACGGACTACATATCTCGCCCAAGGTGAAATACGATACAGGAGTTCGCCATTTTGAGCGCGAATCACCACCTATAAAATAACCACAACGTATGCATGCAGTCACACATAACTCATGTAACACCTCCTGTGTAAACTATAGCAGAGAATGAAATAGTACGCTACACAGAAATTTAATTTAAAGAACACAAAAAATACACAATGCAAGTCAAGACAAGGAAGAACGACCCTCTTCACAGAGATGATTTGCAAAGGGATAGCAAACCAGGCATGTCAGACACAGGAGTGATGTTCACTAGCAGGAGCTGAAAGGCAAGGAGATACACGTAAGTTTCATATAAGTAATGGGAGAAAGAGTCTTCTCAAATGTAGCACTGTTAGGTTCCCTCGTTTCCTGTCATTGCTATTTCCCTGCCACGTTCTTATCAATTTAGACAGACATGCAGTATAATGCCATCAAGATGAGAACCGTGATTTGTTTACTTGGCAAACAATCTAGTAAGGCAATTTTAATGTCTTAATTCCCTCTTCTGTTCCATGCTCTGAGTCCTGACCACAGATCAATGCAAGAAGCACAGGACAGCTTTCAGGTCAAGAAGAGGGAAAAGAGTAAAACTTAACTTAAATTGCTAGGTTTCTTCTGGTGCCTTTCAGTTTTTCTCGGTGCCTTCATCATTCTAACGATAAACTAAAGTATTATCATCTGCTTTACTTTTCATATCTAGTATTTTATGGCAAGAGATGAAAAAGGACAATTCTTTTCAATTCCTTCAAAAAGCTCATAAAACTTCATTTTACCAGAAAGAGTGACCAAACATAACAAACCTAGGAGCTCTTTTGGAGTATTATAGTTTTACACAACAAAAGCAAAGTTGAAATAATTACTAGGATAACGTTTTACCAGGACCTTGCAGAAGGCATTGTATTGGAGGAGCTGGTATCTTGAACAGGCCATCTCTGCTCTATTGAGCAATTAATGTAATCTGTAACTTATAAAATACCCTTGGGAAAGCGTATGAAAATTAAGGGATGGAAGGTAGTGTTGCTGACTGGGAGAGCGTTACATGTTTAGGAGCTCGGGACAACAGGTCCATGCTGTGCTGCACATGTCCCTTGGCCACAGGACAACCTCAGCCATCTCAGCACAGCAGAGGGGGCTGCAGGCAGCTCCCCTTTGGTACCAGCAACTACATCACCCGCACAGGCTTGCCTTTGTCTAAAACTGCAGCAAGAAATTCTCATAAGAACATGCTTTAGGAGTACAGCTGTTTTCTTCTAATGAAATTATATACTAGCTTGAATGACCAAAAGGGAGAGCTTCTCTCCAAGGACAGGATCTGCTCCACACAGCATACCATGGGAAAATCTACCAGGGCACTGTCTGATGCCATGCTAATGCAGGGTGCCTGGCATCTGAAGTTGACCTGCTCACTATCAGTATTCCTTCTCTTATTCTGTCCAATTAAAGCAGTCAGTCTATGAGGCCAACTGTTGTCAGGCCTTTCTTCCTGAGATGCAGAAAGAGCCCTGCTCCATTTCTCACCTCACACCACCTCACCTGCCCCCATCCTCAGTCTAGAAGGAACAGCACCACTCTGGTTTCGCTTGGTATTTTGGCTGGCATTAAAAAACTAGCACAGAAGGTGCTCAGAAACGCATGAGCAAGTGAAGTCCTGAAATTCTTCATTTCACTTTTGTTAAGAAGTTGATGGTTGCTTTTTTGGTTTGGTCATTGGTTTGTTTTCAGTTGTTCGTTTGTTTTTTGGTCTTTTTTTTTGTGCTGTGTTTGTGGGGGTTTTTTTGGTGTTTGTTTGTTTTTTCGAAAGAACTATGAACATCATAAGAAGCCTCAAATGTAAAGGGCTGGGGGGGTAAGGTAGGCCTTTTCACCTGTGGCACGTCTTTCATTATTTTGGTAGGTTACCTGTATCCTTAACCCAACCACAGGGGAAAGTAAGATGAAAATATGTATACGCAGTAGGTTGATGGAAGTTGGTAAAGCAAGAAAATATGATTGCTATGTCTCTCTGTGTATTACTGTAACTCTGACAACTCAAAAAAGGTTTTGTAAGAAGGAGTAATTGAGGCTAACCACCCGAGCAAAAAAAGCTAAGAAAAAGTTATTGAAAACACTGTACAGTTGCATGGAAGAATTTCTTCCGTCAACTGTGCTAGTAAAGCTAGCCAAAAGAGTATTTCTGCAAATTATTTCAACACTATGAAGATCCTCCTCGATGACAGCACTGACAACTTGCAAGTTACTCTTAAAATAATAGAAATTAACTTCTCTTTCTCATATCACACTTCTGATGATGTTATTGCTTGTTTTATTAATTTGTCCCAATTTACCCATCACAAAATAAGAAAATTACTGCAGATAATAACCACACCTAGCTGCTCATGTTAGCATTCCTTTTCCTCTAATGTTCTAGTGTAATTCATATTATAGAGGCTTATGAAGGGTGGGCACATTTTATTTTAAGAAATATGAGGTAAATATTCTCAATTCAGAACATTATTTAATTAGATGTAGTACTGATTTAATCTAAAGATGATACTGGAGGGGTGAAAAGAAAAAGCTTCTTTATTACAAAATGATTACTCTTTAATTTAATCCATTAAGCAATGAAAAACACTTAAGAAAAACAGAGATGAGAAACATTTAAACGACCAAACAGTTGTTTTACTAACCACACTTCCACAGTTGTTTTACTAACCAGCACTTCCTGCTGCTGCAGGTTATATATGCATAAAAAATGTTGAATATAGTCATCACACAGTCCTTTTGACAAAGTACCTATTAGTCTATTTAGCAGACGCTGTACTGCTCCAAATTTGCCTTTTTTAACTCATTTCAAACCAATGTTTAAAAGTTATGATACATCACCTAAGTTAGCTACCACTTAGTCAATCAACATTTTATAGCTGAGTTTACATTTTCTCTACAATATTCTCTCAACAACCTTCTCTAAAGAACATGTATGTGTACACATAATATGTACCAAACAGCTCTTTGTCCTATCTTTCCATATTACAGTTTTTTCCCCGCATTATGGCTTACCCTTGGTTTTCTCCATCTTTGTGATTTAAGTTGCTTTTTAAATGCTTATCAATATAAGCTATTTTAAAATTATCAGGGAGAAGCAATGTTGGTCAGTACAGAAAACACTCCAACAAGACAAGTGCAGGGGAAAAAGGAAATTCAAGTTTCCTAGGAAAAATAACACCTCTTCCTCAGTTTGTTAAAAGAAATTATTTAGTAATAGCCAAAACTAAGTTAAGATGACAAAAATTGACATATTAAGAGTTACATTTACACTGCTCAAATTCAGAAGAACAGAAAAACAAAGCCAAAAAACAGATGAAGAGAATTTGCCACCACCTACACTAAACATTTCTTTGTCTGATACGTAAGACTGTAGTATTTTACTACCAAACTGTGTAATATATGGGCAACATAATACTTCTTTTAGAGGAGAGGGGCACGCCTCTTACAGCAGCTAACCTAGTGTATATTTTATAATTAGAACCCTGTACTAAGAAGTTGTTTTCTTACTTGGCTTACCCATTGAAAATTTCTAAAACAAGATTCTGGAAAATTCAAAGTTAGTCATGCAGAATTTGCCAATATTAACACTAGATACAGCTCACCTGCATAGTTTTCAGGGCTTTTCCCCTTCCTCCATGGTAAATACATTCACAAAACGATACGTAAAAACTCAAAACCCTTCACCTTGGAAACCAGAACCATGTGACATTCAAAGTGAAATATCAGTATAAATACATATAAATAAATGCCCTCACACAAATAAGCAAGTGTCAGAAAGACACAAAATGAAAATGTCCTTCAAAACCTCACATTAAAAAGTCAATTTACTTTAAAAACTGACATGGCATAGATATATAATTCATATAAGTACAAATGTAAAACAACAAAAAGTGAAGAGCTTAACCTAAGCTCCTCATCTTCTGTATGTAAAGGTTAAAACCACGTATTTTATTTGCATTTTCCATTATAGCGATGTCGGTTGTATTTTCAATATTTCTGTCTGTAATGTTCACCACACTCTAGGTTTAGCATCTGAGATCACCGTAATCAGTGCAGTGGATTTAAGAGATGAGTACACCCAAAGTAGTGAAAAGAAGTCCTGGTAATCCAAGGTTTAAGGCATCAATGCTGCTGAAGTGATCAATTCTGAAGTAAGAACTTTCAGATCTGAATAAAAATCACCAGAAAAACTGAGACATATGGCTGAAATTAGAGCAAATTTCTAGCCAACAATGGCTGACTTTGAAGGTATGTGAAAACTGGTGTGCGAAAGTACATTCCAATTTTTAAAATGCTGGACAAAGCAAGACCTACATCTCACAAGAGCATTAGTATCAAAAGTGTTAACGTGTTCCACATCTGTCCCACTATAGTACAGGGAATTTACGAAATGGGGAGTAGCCCGTAGGATAAAACTAAGTACAGTGTTTACGGGTCTGTTTTGATAACATTTAAAACTCTCAGAAGCACTTTATTACAGTTAAGGAGAAACCATCACTCTGAAGGTAGTCTAGTGCCATACAAAAAAGGCAATAACACAATGGAGCAATTCAGAAGCTGAAATAGGTTTCATTTAATTTAATGGTGCTTCCAGTGCAGCACAAGCAAGATTCAGTGGCCTCAATTCTCAGACACATTGAAAATTTTTGAGACTCTTGAGTATCTCACTATCCTGCCTTTCCAAAACAGCATGAGTCTGCCATGTCACCCACAGCACGTCTGCCGATACCTTCTGGATGTCTCAGGGCATTTAAAGGAAAGCTTGGCACTTAACATTCAGGAAACTTTCAATCTACTGTGACTCCATGAAATTTGTTGGCTTTCTATGAACAGAAGCCACACATTTTTTCTTAAATTATCTATAGCAATAAAAAGTCTAAAAGTTTTGCAAGTCTAACAACTTTAAAAGTTCAGTCACAAATACAAATTTAGATAAAACAAACTCACATGTAAAATGGAGCTTAATGGGGTTGTGCTATTGTTATAACAGCTGAAACTTTGCAGTAACAGGCCACAAAACACC